TCTTATGGTTGGTAGATCAGTTTTGCAGCTACCGTTTCAGCCCAGGCCTTTGGAAATTAGTTGAGTCATAACCAGAGAAGGTATTTGAGACTATGAGAATCTTTGTGTTTCATAACACTAACGCCTTGGCTTATTGGAAAATTAAATTGCTTACATAGTGTGGTGGATTTGCCCTCCCAAAAAGTGTGTTCAAGTCCTAATGTCCTGTGACTGTGATCTTATTTGGAGATAGTCTTTGCAGTTGACTCAAGTTAAGATGAAATCAACGTGGTATCTAAACAAGAGATGAGAAATTTGGGCACAGAGGGAAGATAGTCATGTGAAGAGAAAGGTAAAGTGGTTGAAGTTATGCTGCTGAAAGGCAAGGAGAGTTAAAGATGTTTGCAGCCTCCGGATTAGAAGCAGCAAGCCAGGATTCCCTGCTAGTGCCTTTAGAAAGAGCATGGCCTGACCTAATCCTTATTTTCAAACTCTTTACTACCCAAACACTTTATTCTATGAGGGAACAAAGTTCGGTTATTTTGAAGCCACCCAGTCTGTGCTCTTTTGTTACAGCAGACCTAAATCACTAATACACTAGTTCAGAATTCAAGGTGATAAGTTGTGCTGCTAACAAATGGGGTAATTTCCACTATCAATTTTAGATGTTGAACCTTTACTTATGGTCGCATAGTAGTGCCTGTGGTGCTTTTAAAACCAAGCCACCAATGACATCTTGCCTTCAGAGCTCTTAATATTATGGTAGAGGTCATGTGGAATTTCTGTGTTCAACTTTTTGAGGAAACATCAAACTTCATTCTGGAGTGATTGTACCATTTTATGATCCCAGCAACAGTGAATAAGAGTTCCTATCTCTCCACATTCTTGCCAGCATTTATTACTTGCTGTTGTGCTTAACTTTGCCACTGCTACTGGGGTAAGATGGTATCTCATTGTGGTTTTGACTTGCATCTCTCTTTTTGCCAGTGATTTGGAGCATTTATTCATGTGTCTGTTGGCCATCTGAATGTGTTCCTCTGTGAAAAGTCTTGCCATGTCTTTTGCCAATATTACCCAGCTATTCCACTGCTTGGAGTATATCCCAAGAAAATTAGAACTGAGGCATAAATGGAGATTTGTATACCAATGTTCATAGCAGAGTTATTTGCCATAGGAAGAACATGAAAACACTTCACATGTCTAATCACAGACAAATGGATTTAGAAATTATGGTACATTCATACAATGGAATACTACATAGTATGCAGGAGCAATGATTTTGAAAATCACTACCTAACTTGGGAGGGACTGGAGAACATTATGCTACGTGAGGATGGGTATGGACAGAGGGGGCATGATGGGGAGGTTATCATAGTGTCACACAATCTGATAGGAGGGCTGGGAAAGGAAATGGAAAAGATCTGGTATGAAAAACAATGTATACAAACTTTGTAAGTAAACCAGTATAAAGTAAAATTTTATTAAAAAAATAATCATATTATATTGGTGGAGGGAAAAAAGACAAACATGTAATACATGTATGTGCTTGATACAATGAAGGTAGAATTGATATTTTTTGATGTCCCAAATGACACCAAAGCAAGAGGGGGGAATAAATAATGCCTGGTAATATTGCATCAATTTCTTTTTGTAAAGACCCTTATAGGCAGAATAGAACTATCCCATAGAGTTTCTTTTGCTGTAAATTTTATGCTAATAGACTGCTGGGTTTTTCCCTTAGTGAGCTTCCAGTAGATTTGAACCAGCCATCTTTTAATTGGCACTCTGGTGGCATAGTCTGTAGCGAGTTGCACTGCTAACTCAAAGTTCGAATTCACCAATGGCTGTGTAGGATAGAAATAGTTAGTCTCCTGTTATGTGATTTACAGCCTCCTGAAAATCTGCTGGAAGGTCAGCCATGAATCAGTTCCAATGTAATGGCGATGAATTTGAGATCTTTCAGTTAAGTAGCTGAGTACTTAACCACTTAACAGCATTTGAAACTCCTTCACTTGGTACTAAAGCAGTTTAAATATTTATAGGAAGATTGACAGTCTTTAAGCAAAAATCTATCCTACAGCTACTATTTCTCTTCTGTATTCTGTTATGTGCCATCAGAACCAACTCATAGCTTACCCTCCAGCAGATTTGCAGGGGAGGATATTGTCCATCTGCTGGATTTGAACTGCTTGCCTATGAGTGGACAGTGTGTATCCTTACCATTAGGCCACTAGGGCTCTCCATTTCTGTATTAAAGGTAGCTCTAGTGGCCTCTGGAGAGATACACTTAGAAATGTAGGAGCGCTTGAGATACAGAATGAGGTGAAAAGGGTTTGGTAAAAAATGGGTAAGTTGGGAACAAGACATAATTTTTATCTGTGGGTTTTGCCCTGCCCACTGGAACCGTGTACTTGTTGCGGGGAAGCCTGCCATCCAGTTCATGTCCCGTGGCTTTACCCTTGAGAGGTCACAGTTGACCACATTTACATGGCAAAGAGAAAATAACAGCTGAGGTTGCTGGTCATGACGTAACACAAAACAGCTTACGTCCACCCTGAAATACATGCAGGGTGAGTCATCTGAAACTATTGCTCTGGACTTTGGACTTTCAGAGGAAATATTTTGACTCAAAAGCTGAAATTCTCATGATTTAGATCTGACTGCTTTGGTCACGTGCTGCAGGTAACTAGATGAAGTAGAGGAAATTCTGTTTTCATCATGGGTGTTATGCTAAGAGAGTTGAATATAGAGGCCTCAATATGAAGCAACCTTATAAGACGTTCTTCCCTTCCCCACACCCCCAAAGATAAAAGTCACTAGAATGGGTTTTTTGTATTTGTTCTGGTTTTTTAGGGACTTTCTTTCGATAGCCAGTGTCCTGAAAACCTGGTATATATTCATAATGATTCTAAGCCCTGGGAATATAGCACTGTATAAACATTACCACCTTTCTAGAATTTGCATTCTGGCTTATGTAATAAATGGTCCAGAACATTAAATGTGGTTAAGTGCTATGAAGAACAATGCTTTTTTTTTTAAATTAAATAGGTAAAACTTCCTTGTCCCTGAGTTAAAAATCACTTAATAGAAAACCCTCCTGAGGGTATTTTGAGGCTTTACAGCCTCATAGAAGAAGAGATTGCCCCTCTACAAAGTAGAACTTTGCATTGTAAGGTTTTCTTCATTGTAAACCTTTTGTTTGTTGTGGTCTTTATTTATTTTAAATCCTTTGTATTGTAATTGGCTTTCCATCCCACAGTTTATACATATTTTATTGAGTGCAGTCTCCACAGTGGAGCAAAACTTTGTCCATGTCCTTGTTTCCCATTTCCCTTCTCTTTTCTTTCTTTTCCCTTCCTGCCTGCTGAACTTTTTTTCTGGGAAAACCTGCCCTGCCGTATGGTTAATGGCTCAAATGAGTGTGTTCCTCTTTGGCGTTATTGTTTGCTTTATAGACCCGTATATTTATTAATTCAGTTATGGTTGCAAATACTTGTGGGAGCAGGCTACATTTTTCTCACATGGAACGTCTGATTTGACTTGGACCACCACCCCAATATGCTAACCACAGCACCATGAGAGATGGAGAAGAGACTGAGGTTGTTAACAGTGTTGCTCAGCTCCATAGTCAGTGATCTTGGCACCAGCAGCCAGGAAATCAAAAGATGAATTGCATTAGGTAAATCTTCTGTCAGGGACCTTTCCAGAGTACTAAGAAACAATGATGTCAGTCTAGAGATTAAGGTGTGTCTGATCCAGGCCATGGTCTTTGCAATTACTTGCTATGCATCAGAGAAGCTGGTTAATGGCTAAGGATGACAGAAAAAATGAAAGCCTTGGAGTTGTGGTACTAGAGAAGAGCCTTGAACATACTATGGACTGCCAAGAAAACAAATAGGTCTGTCTTGGACAGGGTGAAACCGAGTGTCTCCTTGGAGGCAAGGATTTTGAAGTTCTGTCTCACATACTTTGGGCATGTGACCAGGAAGGACCAGTTCTTGGAGAAGGACATCATGCTCGGAAGGAGAGAGGGACAGCATAGGAGAAGACTACCCTGGATGAGAAGGATTGATCTAGTAACTAGGGCAGTGGGGGTAGATGTGTCAGAGTCAGTGAGACTGGCTCAGGACAGGGCAGGCTTAAGAGCTTTTGTACATGGTGTCGCTATGAGTCGCAGGTGACTCAGTGGCACATAACAACAACAGCACTACCAGACCGTGGCCCTCTCTTAGTACATTTGAGTCAGTTTGACTCATAGCTGACCTTCTACTAGGTTTCCAAGGTTGTAAAGCCCATGGAGGAGGTTGCCCATCTTTTTCTCCAGAGCTGCTGGTGGATTCCAGTCACTGAAGAAGGTCTGCCATTGGATCAGCACTACAGCACTCTAAGCACTGACTGACCAGAGTCCCTTCTTAACAGGACCACATGAGCACAGATTATTTCTATATATGCGTTGGGTAAGTCAGCTGTCAGAGACTTCTCCAGAGTACTGAAGAACAATGATGTCAGTCTGGAGACTAAGGTGCACCTGATACAGACCATGGTCGTTGCAGTCACTTGCTATGCGTCATAGAGCTGGACAGTGACTAGGGATGATACAAGGAGAATTGATGCCTTTGAGCTGTGGTGCTGGAGAAGAGTATTGAATATACCATGGACTGCTAAGAGAATGAACAGGTTCGTCGTAGGGAGGCTGCTCCTTGGAGGCAAGGATTCTGAAGCTTTCTGACATACTTTGGACATGTTGCAAAGAGGGACCAGTCCTTGGAGGGAGATGTCAAGCATGGGAGGGTGGAGGGACAGCACGTGAGAGGAAGACCCTCGATGAGATTGATTGATTCAGTGATGGGGGCTAGGGAGTAGGTGTGGTCAGAGACAATAAGGTTGGCACAGGATAGAGCAGGGTTTAGGGCTGTTGTACATAGGCTGACTATGAGTCGCAGGCCACTCGACGGCACATCACAGCATCAACAAACAACATATTTAACTGACATGGCTATCTCCCCCTTCCTTCCCTCCAGGTTCCTGATGTCATCAGCAGCATACGGCAGTTGTCTAAGGCAGCCATGAAAGAGGGTGCCAAGCCCACCAAAGATAACGAGGACGCCTTCTACAACTCTCAGAAGTTTGAAGTCCTGTACTGCGGGAAGGTGACCGTCACCTACAAGAAGGCCCCGTGCAGCCTCATTGACGACTGCATCGAGAAGTTCAGCCTGCACGAGCAGCAGCGTCTCAAGATCCAGGGTGAGCAGCGCACGGATCCCGGCGAAGACCCGCTGGCTTTGGAGGCAGAGGTGCCCAGCCCCCCGGGGGACAGCCTGCTGGAGCAGGCCGATGCCGCCCCCAGGGCCCACTCAGGCTTACACACAGTGGCCAGCCAGCCTGTGCTGTCCAGCTCCCGCGTTTGCTTCCCTGAACGCATCTTGGAAGACTCGGATCTGGATGAGCAGCAGGAGTTCCGGGCTCGGTGCAGCAGCGTCACCGGAGTGCAGAGGAAGGTGCCCGAGAATAGCCAGCGTGCCCAGCCTCGCCGCAGGCATGCCAGCGCGCCCAGCCACGTCCAGCCGTCGGACTCCGACAAGAACAGGACCATGCTGTTCCAGGTGTGTGCCCCTGGCAGGGAGGCAGCTGCCCAGCTCCTCCCTAAATAACAGAATATCTCATTTTTTATTCTTTTCTGCCTCAGAAGCAGATAAGGCAGGTTGAGACAGAGAACATAGGGCTAGAGAAAGGGTTGAGGCAGGCATGGGATCGATTGTAAAATATACAGAATTGGGGCAGGGAAAGGAGACAGAAGCGTCATGGCATCTGTGGAAAGGATTGCCTATCTTAGTTTCACTGGCATTTTGCTCTAAGTTGCTAACTTAGCCAAATTGATTTCTTATAATTACAGATAACAAATGTATTAAAATGGGAGAGTGATTAATCATGGACAAGGAAGAGCTTTCTAAGAGAGGAAAAATAAGCCCATAGATATTTTCTGATGAGAAGACTTGTTTTACCTGTTCAGACAAAAGGGGAAGTGAAGGAAACACTGCTGGTCTGATTATTTGCTAGATCAGTTAGTAATTTGGTACAAGCTATGTAATAGGGTGTGAAAGAGCACTCTTAATTGCAAAAAAGTAATTTTTCTAATAGTACACAAGTTTAACTTAAAAGATTTAAGCCCTTGACCTGTAGAGGCTCTTAATGAATCCTCTATGTGTGAGACTTGAAGTATCTTGAATAAATGAACTTCTGTCCTTGTAGCGAGCCCTGCGTCCTTTCTCAGTGAAGCCCTCAGAAGTAAACCCCACAGCTTACCTCAGTGAACTGTGAACAGCTGCTTGCTTTATCTCAGCTGCAAGCATGTGGTCAAAGGATCTTTTATTTGCACACAGATTGACTGATTTTCCCCTCTTAGGTGATATCAGAGTTACTTTTCTGAGTCACAGGCCTCTGCTGTTAATTTTCCCTGAATGATTTTTTATTTTTGAATTTTTTTAACTTACCAACCCCGTTCAACATTTCTATATGTTCATCTCACTTGGCTGATCATTCATAAGAAGGAATGATTTAAGTTAATGAATAGTTGGTCTCTGTCTTATACTGAGGAAAAGACTTTGTTTCTTCTATCTTGTAAGTTAAGACTGAATTAATAGTCATGATTTTTGGTCAAAAAGGGGGAATTCCGTTTTGAAGCCCCTCGTATTTCACATTGAAATATTGATTGGATTGGAAGTTGAACACCTAAGAATAGGTAAAGATCTCTTTGGGATCTATGTCTTTGAATCTATTGTACTTGTTGAAGTGTAAAGTAACATGTTAGTCCCTTGTTAGTATTAGATATTGATTTGAATGCTTTTATTTTTTAGGTTGGACGTTTTGAGATTAACCTTATCAGTCCAGACACTAAATCGGTGGTGCTTGAAAAGAATTTTAAAGATATCTCCTCTTGTTCTCAGGTAATCTTTGAAGTTTATCACAGTGTGTGAATGGCTCAACTAAATCTTGCCTCAGAAATAACAACAGAATAACTGAATGAAAACTTCTGCACATTTTAGGCTTTTTAAAAAGAGTCAAATGTATTTTTTAAAATTATTATTTTGAAGATTCCTGTTCCTTCCAGGTCTCACGATAATTTTTTTTGTCCTCTTTTGATCAGCTCTTTCTTTCTTTTTTTTTAAATTTAAATTTATTAT